TTTTTTTTTTTTAATATAATTCAGTATTCTATTTCAATTTCTTATTGCAACTTTCATTTTAATTTATGAATATTGTCTCAACACTTTTTTTTTCGGGCACGTTAAAAAAATTTTATTTTTAATACTGTGTCACGTACATAGAATCCTACGCAACAACTGACTATTAAATAATTTATTACGTTAATAGTTATAGCCGGCAAGGCTAATTCATAATTTTAAAGGTAATAATTTGAATGATAGTAACATTGATAACTAACTAAATACTTGGTAGATCATAAAAAATCTTTTGTGCGTATTCGTATGCTTGCATGTGTGTGATCTCAGAATTTTTGACCGATGTCAATGATTCAGGACTCAGCAGGATTACTTTTTCATATTGTTACGATGGCTTGGGAAAAACAATCGTCATAGCTTTTTAAGGTTGTCATACCTCTTGACGATTTCTTGATTTTTTTAAACAGTTTGTTGTATTATTCAGGTGAAAAAAATATTCTTATACATATTTTAGTTTTACTTAGGGAAAATTCAAACAATTACATTTTTTTTAATCTCTCCATATATTATACAGTTTCATTTTGAACAATAAAACAATTTTTTTTCTTTCGATTGATGCATTCAAGATTAGTATTTCAATAAGATTGATAGAACAATTCCCTAATTTGTAATTTTAATTAAATTCTTAACAAGATCTTATTTCATACAGTACGAGAAAACCACATTTTCTATTTTCGCACACTCCATAAGAGTTTTTTTTATAGGAGAATTTTACTTTAATGTGATAAATATTATGATTTCATTGACAGGTTTCACACATCTGAGCTTGTAATTTATATATGTACATTTTAATACTTACTGCAGCTAAAAAAAATAAATGTAGTTTGGTTTGTTCTTAAATATCTCATACGATTGTTTCATAAAAAAAAACTTTAGATTGCAATAAATGACTGAAACTTTTAATTTGCTACTCAACGTAATTTAATATTGTTGAATAAATTTCTACCTGCAGAGAAAATACTGAAACATTCAACGATAGCTTTTTAGAGTGTCAGAAAACTGAGTAGATTTTTTAAGATTTTGCACTACAAATTTGTTTATTTTAAGTAAGGCCCGCTTTTTATTCATAATTTAGGATGTGGTTCAATTTTTTTTTTAAGTCTTACAATTTCTTGAATCACTGAATAATATCGGTGGGTCAGCGCAAGAAATAGTCTTTTCAGAGTAGAAGACATNCGACTCAGCAGGATTACTTTTTCATATTGTTACGATGGCTTGGGAAAAACAATCGTCATAGCTTTTTAAGTCTTACAATTTCTTGAATCACTGAATAATATCGGTGGGTCAGCGCAAGAAATAGTCTTTTCAGAGTAGAAGACATGAAAGAGCTTTTTGAAATCAAGAGGAAAAAAAGGGTTTCTTTGAGTAAATTTTTTTTCCGTTAACTTTAAGTTGGCAATAGAAGTATGTATGTTTATATGCATAAATTAATTAAGCATTACTTAATAACACTGTGGTCAATCTCTATGTAACATAGGTCACTTACTGGCCACGTTGTTGAATAATTAATACAACATTTATTAATAATAGAAAAGCGTATTACCACATGATACGGAGTATGTACGATCTACTATATCAATATGGGTGGAGTGGGTGGAGTGAGTGGAGTTTGAGAAATCTTATCACTGTTCATCTTATCTTTTAGTCGCCATCACCCCACATCTATTTACTCTAAAAACTCTGCCAACTGTCCTCCTCTCTCCTCGTTCACCCAGTAATTTCAACTCCACCTCACCAGGCGTCATCGAGCCTTATATTCACCAACAATGTCATGCGTCATTTTCATATCCTACTAGCACCTTCTCATTCTCTCTGTATCACACTCTCACTCGTCTTATCCACAGCCTTCTTTACCTCATCTCATCAGCCCTCCTTAGCCATCTCAACTTTACACATAGCCCTCCTTTTCTATTTTCTCTTTTGGTCGTAAATCAGCCCATCTATCGCAAACATTTTAGCCATATAGCACTTTACTATAGTTTTTCCATAGCAATAAATTACTGTATCGTACGTAGTTTAAACTACTTTTCCTACTCTAGTCTTTAAGCTATAGTTTTTAAGTTTGCCTTTAACCATGTAACTCAATTTTGGCCAGATGGGGATCTTCCCCAAGGCATAATAAATTCTAAACACTCTAAACACTCTGTATGTATCTCTCTTTCTTTCTCTTTCCCTTCCTCTTTCTTTCTCTTTCTCTATCTCTCTTTCTTTCTCTTTCTCTATCTCTCTTTCTTTCTCTTTCTCTATCTCTCTTTCTTTCTCTTTCTCTATCTCTCTTTCTTTCTCTTTCTCTCTCTCTCTTTCTCGAATCTCAATCTCTCCCTGTTGATTACCATTTTAGTTACTCTCCTTATTACTTGTTTATTTCGTATGTAACGCCACTACATTTTTTTTTTCATACCATACAATAGAATGCAAATGAACTTTTTACATACTTATTAACAGTCCAAAAATTAATATCAAGATTTTTTTGGAAAACTTTAGCAGAATAATTAATAAATTAATATTATTTTGTGAGTTATCTCATTGAATTCTAAGTAATACATACCATCTAGGTATCGTTGCATGCACTCTTGAATAATTCTTGAAATTGCTTGTAACTTTACAGAGATTTTAGCATTATGTTCTTAGAATTGCGTGAATTTACGTTGATGTCAACAGTAGAACATACATAATTGCAAATTATTTCAGGATAAAGATTATGCACAACATTGGCATCGTATTCGTGCAAATGGGAAGGCTCGAAGAGGCAGCCAACAGCTTTGAATGGGTGATGAGGGAAAAGCCGGATCTGAAGGCTGGCATGCACGCGATCCTCTGCAACTTTGCCCTATCTCGTCAAGATAAAATGAAGAAGTGCTTTCTTGAGTTGCTCGATGTTCCCCTCCCCATTGATCACGATGAAAAATATAGTATTAACACGGTTATTTGCAAACTTTATTTATGAATGTATACATATCGTGACACATTTTTTCTCTGTATTTTCTGATTGCAGGATGATATAACAGCTAACATACTTAACGAGACAGTTAAAAACGACAACCTCTCGAGATTAGAGCGTGAGCTGAAAAGTTACGCCGAGAAAAAGATCCTGAACGCGGCAAATCTGATAGCTCCCGTCATTGAAGAGACGCTCGCTGCGGGGTTTGCATGGTAGGTATAGACTAGAATTTTTTTCATCCATGTTATAGCATCATACATCCTTTTTCCATGCAATTCAGCAGTAAGGAATGGGAAAGAAGAAGGATACGATGAGATAAGGGGAAATCGGTGTATTGCCTTAGTCCCGACCAGATATATACGTATAAATACAAGGACTAACTTCTGCATACATTACATTTATATTGAAGGCAGAAAATAAAAAAACTACTTAATCAGAAAAATCATCAGTGAAAGTAAAATGGCAAGACATAAATGATTACCCATTAAAATGCTAACTGCATTAAATGCTGCTTAATCTCATTGATCTGGGAAGCTGAAACTTAGTTGCTATGCTACCATGATAGTTATTAGAATATAACTATATTTAACATAAGAGTAGTGTTAGTTTAGTGATAAGCATTCTTGGTACTGATACAATATCGTTTTGAGATAGTTTTTTACGAGAAATTCTCCTTCAGTGTGGTTCTAGGATTTGTTTCTTTCTCCACAGATCTTTAGGCCTGGGTAAATGCAACATAGTTTGAGCTTTATGTGGGGATTAGCAAATACAATGCCAGGCACTGGGAAGGGAGCACTGGCCTTACCGTTGATGAGTGGTAAATATGGTATTAGTTAGGTGATCGGTAAAAGAGACTGGAAATACACCCCCATTTATAAGTAGCAAGTAGGTGGCCCTGGTGACTAGACGAGCAGGTTGTTGCGGTAACCTGTTAAAAAAAATAATAAAAAACTACATTTTAAGTGAATTATATACATACATATATTAATGACGATTTACCCCCTGAGAACTTTATAAGTTATCCTCTGTACTTATAATTAAAAACATAATGTACAACTTCTTTAAACTGTTGATCAATTTTCATTACCTTCTACATGAGTGAAAATCGTGACAGTACTGTATTTGATAAAATTTAGTAAACTATGTCTGACGACTGTTATTCGCTGAGTGCATAAAGCTAGAGGAGAGGATTGACGCCGTGTGATACTTTAACACATAGTTTTATGGGCAAGAGATATCGAGGCACTGGTAACAGTAACTTAAACTAAATTACATCTTTAAGATTAAATATGGTCTGGGAAAAATAACTTAACGTGCGTTACGTTATAACTGGGCGAATAATGTGGCTGTAAAAATTATTGTTTTATGCCTAGAAGCTAAAAATAATCACAATTTGTGTCCATGTTGATGTATGATCTTATGAATGAGTGTGATGTAGTTTTCTTACTTGCCTAACTTTTTACTTTTTTTAAAAAATAAATTCAATGGAGAAATCATAACTTTATTGAAAAGTATTTTTTTCTACATTTGTTAGAAAAAAAAAAAAATAAACTTTAGTATATGGGTAGTTGTGCCATAACTGACTCAAAAAATATTTCCGAATCGTATACGCGTACTGAGATATAATATATTGGTGCCAAAGTTAATATTTATATAAAGACTTGCTTTTTTTCTGTTCCAATCACAAAAAGTAGAACTTGAAGCCGTTTGGGGGAGTGATATTTACGAAAAAACAGATAGAATGCCCGTTTCGTCCAGTTTCACTTTTCAGTTTTCACTTCTATTTATCCTCTCTTGCCAAACATCGATCTAACACACCTTAACTGCTGTTATAAGTCAATAACTTTAGAGAATTGTTAACTGGCATCTATGTTGTGACTGAACTTTTTCATTAGCAATCCTAGAAGTGCGCATTCACGTTGGTCCTAAAATTCAGTTGAAAAATAGTGCATCGTGTATTGGGCCTTGGCAACAATCCTACATGGTTCGATGTCATTTTATAACAATGAATTTCTTAACTATAGTACACAAGTAAACAATCAGCAGTACTACATTCTTTTTTTTTCTTATTTTGCTGTAGTGATCTAACACATATTTTTCACTGTAATTATTATCTAAAACATTTAATTAAAATACATAGTTTGTAAAAAAGATAGAGACTTGAATCAGTATGTATACCATGGGGATTCTGGCGATGGGGGGGGGAGAGGCTAAGCGGAAAGTAGGTGGCCAGCAATGGTAGAGAGAGAAGTTCGAGCTATACCACAACCGGGTCGTGGAGAGAGGTTGTGAGTGGGGTGGGATTGGGCCACTTGGTGGTGGGGGAGATTGAGCAATCAGGCGGTGGGTGATGAGAATCACTCGGGCAGTAACGTTGGGAAGGGGTCTTGTGATCCGAATACTGCTGTAACATTGGACGATACCGACGACTGCCTTCGTTTCCGACTGCGAATCGACCTCTGGTGTCAGGATAGCTCGAGAGGTGTAGGCTGTTAACAAGCTCAGCGTATATCAAAAGGAAGCTGATCAGACATGAACAAGTATTTCTTATCAGTGGATGTTTTTTCTACCACTCATCATCATTTAGACGTCTCAGCGAAACATTTTCTTCTTGAGAGTGGGCGTATCGAGTTGTTGGAAAAAAATGTATACTTTTTTAGTAGCTTCAAAAAATACGAAAATCTTGGCTAGTCCTAGCAAGGACCCATTATTAATTTTTTTTTTTTTTTTAGTATATTACATCTATTTTTCTTTAGATAAGAGCGAGTATCATGGGAATAATAATTTCCCTTGACTTTTGGTTAAGATGCCTTGACGTGCTTTTGTATATTTTTATCTTCCTTTTTCTTATTAAGGTTCTCGTATTTTGGTTTGCTAAAGTACAAACCCATGTTTTTTTTATATTGACTGCTCAATTTGCACATAACAACTAAAGCTATACGCAAATTTTTTTAAGCTTATAAGAAGGCACTTATTTCTTTGTACTACGACGCAAGACGTACTTCAATATTTTTTCCCTTAAATTTTATGCTTTCTTTTTTCTTCTTCACCTTCACACAGTCATCGTTTTTGGCATCAACATTATCATCAGATTCAGAATCACTATCATTATTAGCAGTATTAGGTTCATCAACAATATTTCAGCTGGGAACCATTTTAGAAATTTTCTTCCTGTAACTATTAAGTGCGTCAATAAAACATTCCGTGTCTGGTTCAATGCTTCTTTTGACTAAAAAGTACAGAAATAACTTAATTTAATCAGCTTTACTAGGTGCTCAAAATTTCTTTCTATGTCGACATTTTTGTGCCTCATGAGTACCACACATTAACGCCTTTGTTGAACATCCCATATTAAGAATGTGACGTGATGGCATCATATACTACTGAATTATAAGCACAGCACACTCTATGGTAGATTCCAAGTACGTGGCTGCATTATTTTTATAAACGTAGGTTGGGTGTGCATTTTTTGCTACAGCGTACAAGTGAGGCTGTAATTTTCTAATGAAACAATCGCCCTGGAACCAGTGAGGTCGATGCACTTTCTTCGACTGATAATAATCGTTGTTTCGACGAACATCAATCGGTAAAGTAGAAGACTTGCACATGGGCCGAGTAATCCAATGACTGATTGCTGGAGATACAACAGCCACATCTTTTAGTAAAAACTGTCAAGAAGCGCCGAGAAAATCTTCAGTCTCTATATTATAATTCATGTATAAATCCATTTTTTTTATTTTGTAGCTTAAAAACATTGTACTAACTATGACACAAATGCGTATCCATCACGTTTGATGCTGCGTGATAAACTAAGCAGCACTTTTGCTGAAATTTGTTTATATGTGTCCTGTACTGTATAAGTGTGTATGTGTGTGCGTGTTTATGTGTGTGTGTGTCTAATAAGGATAAATCATTGGTTTTTAATATTTTAATATCAAGGTAGTTTTGAGGAAAGGGCTACATAAACAATAACAATAATAACAATAATTTAATACAATACATTTATTTATGACATAATTTAAAAAATATATTTTTATTCATTTTTTTATTAAACATCTTCCTCAGAATCAACATCTCTCAACCACGTATGTAAGTAAAATTTTTTCATTCGTTTGACATTGTGAGTGGCTCACATAGATCTAAACGCACCGCTATGGTGAGGACACGTAGTAGTTAATGTTGGGAGTTCAAACTCTGGATAATCAACTATGTATTAACGAAAAAATTGAACCTTTCGAGCCAGTTTTCTTCAATTCCCCAATAACATAAATCTTATTAGCATTGTTGAGATTTTTCCGAAGAACATAATCAATTTCTGTCTAGTCAATAACACTAAATTGCTAATTTTATTTATTATAGGGTAGCTCAAGCCATAAATTTTTTCGTTTGTATTTACCATTTAGTTTGCACCAAGAAAATGGTGGTTGAAAGAGAAATACTTGAGGTTCATCGTCTCCGTGTAGTGATAGAATCAGCTCTATAAGCACATAATAGTTGCAAGGTTTCTTGAAGCTATGCATGTCCACCACATACTCCACAATGATAAAGACTGGTTTCACAGTTAGTATTTTTTAAAATTTCATATTTGTGCATAAACAAGTTTTTTCACGTTACCACTTATAGAATTGTACTCTACGATGCGATTGTGTGAAATAGAACAATAAGCACATACATTTTCCAAAAAATTTTCTCGTGCTTCAAACTCCAAGCGTAAGTATACTGGCACGCTTTTCAAAGTCTCATTTTGCTTAGAGTAGTCAATTACAATAAAAGGCATGTATGCGATAAAATATCTTCGATACAAAAAAAGTTCTGGTCCTTTCCCGTAACGGCTGCTTGAAAATTTTTATATGCATCGTAAAATATTAAACACTGATTTTTATTAATACCAAGACTAAGATTTCCACAAGGATAGTAGTGTGAGTTCAAGAAAAGCTTTACATCGCTGATGCTACAATTATCTAAGAGACTGGTATTAGAAGCAGGCTCATATTTTCGCTTTTTTTAAAGCCAAAAATAACGAAATAAGGCCTGATTAAAAGTTTTGACAGTCCACACATGCCTAGAAGTTTTTGGCAAAAGAGGATACTCATATATTTCCTAATTGTGGACACTCATAGAAATAGGCTTGTATTTTGCAATAACATCGAGCAAATGAACTTATCGTCTGTCTGATGCAGTCGTGTAAAGTGGAAGTATCAATACGAAATAA